CCTAAGTAGCTGGTCTGCCAGTTCGGCAGAAGCTAGTACCAGGTCGATCGTGCTTTCTGCGTCCCCTGACTGCCATGTCTTCGTGCCTCTTGGGAGAAGGCTGCAGAGGGAGTGTTCGTCCATGAGGTTGACGATGCGGTCTCCTTCGCCTTGTCTCAGTGGTGAGACATCGTCTCCTCCCCAGAGCTGGTCGTGGCGGTTGAAGTCACCCGCCAGAACGACGTCTGTTCTAGTTCCCGTTCCGTCTCGGAACCTTCTGATTAACCCATCAAGCTCTCCCATTGCGGCGTCCAGAGCTACGTTGTTGCCGCCCTCAACGTAGATTGACACTATCAGCACTGTCCGATCTGGGAGTCGAATCTGTGCTGCAGTGAGGTCTGCTGACGGCACTGGGATCTGCTCGACCTCCTTGTCGCTTCGTACCCACATCATGCTCCGGATTGGCCAAGTTGTGTTCCACTTTGTCGTTGGTATCAACTTGGTCCCATGCGTTTGGTGGATAATTTGTGGGTTGCCAAGAAGACCCGAGGTCACGGGAGGGGACGACTTGGCAGGGGAGAATGGAAATGACTGAGCTTGGGCAGGGTTGGGGTACATGTGGCTGGGCAAATATAGTCAAATTGAACAACGCAAATTGGGGGTGCGAGTTGACTTGCAAATATTCCAAAAAGTTTAATTTGCGTTGATTTTGCGTTGATTTAATCTGCGTTAATTTGACTATATTTGAGTTGTTGAGAGCGCTGCTTCAGAGTGTTGATCATACTCAACTGTCTTGTAAATTATTGCATGGAGATGAATGAGCAAAGTTAAGACAGATTAAATGCCGAGGCCTCGTTCCCTTGCGGTGCTGTGGTGTTGTGATGTCTTCCACCCTCCGGATGTACAGAAGTGGATGGAGAGGAAAAAAATCCCTTGCTCTCTGCAGGGGTTCCTTAATCGGCGTGGTTGCCTCTAGTCCAATGGGGGCCCCCATTGCCCCACTGGGCCCACTCGTCCCTGATTCGGCGACAGCCTCGCGAACAACAGCATTGGATGCTGTGCAGCGTTCGGCAAACTGCTCGGATAGTAACCCGGAAGGTGCCCTGTGTTGATGATGATGTGGAAGCTTCCGAGTCAGTTGACTAGGTAGAACTGGCCAAACTGCGTTGGACGACTTGGAGCCTTTGCGGAAAGCCACACGTTCTTCAACTTTGTTTCAATTTGCAACTTTTCTCACCTACTTAATAACAAAAGGAACAGTGGCGCAACAACGGGACCAGTATGTTCAATTGTGGTCGTCGTTGGTCTGTTCGGGAATGCCGATACCTTCCAGACCGTCAAGTGCAGGGTTTCCATTCTGGGCACTTCAGCTATGCTGTACTTCGCTTCCAACATTGCAGGTTATCCTTAACAATGTAAGCACTTCAACTTCATGGTCACCATTTCCGCTCGTTCCTCCCACAGTTCTTGTCCCTTGGCTGAATGTTCGGCTTGGAGCGCTCTCTCTGCGCACCCCTCCAAGTAGCTGCACTGGACGTGGCCAGATTGTACGAAACAAAAGTAACGTTATCCTGTCCGGAGGACAATTTTGTTGCCAAACTTTTGGAAATACTATGGGAAAAGTCGACGGAAATTGATAAGGAATTGCGGAGCCCTCTTATCCGCCCCTTGGGACTGGTCCGTGGCTTTGCGCCCCACTACTTGCCTGATTCGGCTGTGCCGCAGGCTGGCCTTTCCAATGCCGCCTGCATGCGAAGCTAGCCGCACCCACCTAATTCCTGTCCTCAACTTTGTTTACATGGCCTCTCGACATCGTCAACAACGACCTACGATGTTGCCCTCCTGCAACCCCCCATTTTCCAGCTTCGTTCCTTCTTGGTTCCAGAGTATTTCCGTTATGGACTGGTTATTCGGTCACTATGGAGGGCGCTGTCCCTCAAGCGCAGTGGAAAGTGTGTCGCGACTGCAACGTTGAGCAGCCGATCGATCAGTTTTTGGATCGTCGTGGTAACGGCAGGATTGTCAGAAAGTGCCTGGATTGCCGGGACAAGCAGAGGGCATCAGTTACGATTCAATTGTTTCCATTCCATCGTTCTTCATCTCCAAGCTGACTAGCTGACTTGGTACACCAGGAACATGCGTCGAATGCTGCTATTTCGGCAGCCAGTGCGATCGCCCGCCGCGCGGCCGCCGCGCCTTAGATACGATTCAATGCAGTTGCAGTATACGGGAATCATTGGCCGACGGACAGGTTTCTGGCGCTTCGTCTCTCGCACCCATAATGAACACAGTAGTATACAGGACGAACAGTTGATGAGCCGATTGTCCTCCGGCAGGGACAGGAAAATTGCCAGGAGCGAGAGAGAGGAAGGAAGCGCCCCGTAGCGTAGCGAAGGGCCGCGCGACTGGCGAGCGAAGCGACGCCAGCAATTTTAAGGACTATAATGACCTTGGTTTGTTTGTTAGTGCGGTACGACCGACAGCGATCCCAGTACGAAATTCAAGGACTTTCACTCTAGCAACTATAAACTCACTTTCAGCGCTAAAAAAAAAAAAAAAAAAAATTGAGTATTCACGGATCCTTTATTAGATTTACTCTTTTCAAAGGTTTTCTTTGCATCAAAAAAATGTTGTTCTGGCGTTGACTTGAAGTGTTTGGGTGGGGCAAGTGAGGCGTTAACGAACAAACCAGGGGCGGATGTACTGGATGTGGTGGGGAGGCCGCCTTCCGTCACGGCCCGGGTGGGGTTTCAGCATCGGTTGCCGGGTCCAGTTAGACATCATTCGTCCGTATCCAGCTTTACGAGGCTCGTGCAAGGCTCTCGGATGGTTTCCGCCTTTAGACCGAGTCAGGTAGCACCTACATCCGGTTCGCTCTGCCGCGTACGCACTGTTGCTTCCGATATGCAACTTGAACGTGAAAGGCAGCAAAATAAGCGGCCGGTGCCTTGCCTAGTTAATCCGGCGTGGGGCAAGCTCGGCGAACAGGTCTCCTGTGTCGCATTGTTCCAAACTAGGCATGTTCTGTTGGTTGCACTTTTTGCACTCTCACTTGTCGGTACAAGCGGATCCTGGAAAAGCCACATTCCGTCTCCTAGTGCTTCTTCCTCTTTAAGGCTAGGGTACAACAGGTACCCCAGCCTTGGCATGGGGTTTGGTGTTTCCTCATCAAATTCCTCTACCAGGGTTGAAGTTCATACTATGAGACAAGGGGCTGTATCAAGCTGCCAACAGCCCCGCGAGATTGCCACAATCATATAGGGATTGCTGGTAAAGTTACGTGTGTCCAGCGGGAATCGCCTCGGCAGGTCTGTACCCTGCCTATATACAAGGACATGTAGACTGCCCAGGGTATAGGCAGCCCTTCCACCTTGACTCTGCATTGTGTTGCATCTCACTTGGGTGCCAACGTACCACAGCCAACGTGGGTGTTGTGCTTATCGCAACTGGCCACTCTTTGCTGCGTACCTTAATTATGCCATGTCCGTCGTTTGGTGGGCCTGACGCTCGCCACCCACGTCGTCTTCTCTCTGATTCCCATTGGGTGGTGCAACATGTAGCATGCAGGGCGTAAACCGTGCCAACATACCGGGGTCAGACGATCCTGCAGGTCGCTCAGTTGTTCACTTGGTTGAATACTACAGTAACATCCCGATCAGGGACGATTTGGTCTATCGACAGTGTACATTGTAAGTGAATCAAGCCCTGAAGTGAACTCAACCGGCCCCAACCGGCAGAATGTAGACCCACTGTTGGAACCGGTTTCAGCATAGCGTCTGGACATCGTTGCAGGGCACAGTCCGGGGTCTCAATGGGAGCTGCCAACTGCATTAAAATCCTCCCGTGTCGGCAAGATTCGGTCTAACCGCTGCGACAATCGCTCGCGGATGTGGTCTCATCACCAGCGAGAACCACGCCGTTGCTGATGTCTCTGCGCTCTCATCGGAACCGGAAGTAATGCGAGTCCTCCCCATGTTGTAGTGGCCCACGTTCGCGGCGTGCCGGGTTTCCGAAAATCCTTTCTTCGCCTGGAAAGCGAACTGGGCCTGGCAGAGCTTGCTCAGCTTGGACGGGGCGTGGGGGGCCTCTCCTGGTTGCCTGCTGGCCACCCAAACACCTGTCGTAGTTGGCTCTCTTGTTATTCGGCACCTGGCTTCCTCCAGTCTCTTTGCGGATTACGTTCTCCTGGCTCTCCCAGCGGCCTGATACGGCTACGTTGGTTGGTTGCCCAGGCCGGAGTCCAGTTGCGAGATAGCCCCTGGCAAACTTCGGACTTCCCAACAGAGGAGCCCTAATAGTGCCAAGTGGTTTCTATTGAATGCTGCATTCGCTTCTCGTTACCATTGGCAAAGGACTTTGAGTTTGTTCGCCTTACACAACTACCAAACTAAACCAAGGGGGAAGTTGGCAGTTGGCAGTTCAAGAACGGCACGGATTGTCTCAGTTTTATTCCATTCAAACGGAAAAATCTGCACGACGGCATTTGTGGACAGGCCAATGCAGGAAAGGAAGGAGAGGGAGGAGTGCTTCGCCACCATGAAGCGCCAAGCTGGACTGTTGGTGCAAGTGTGCTGATGCAGGTGGAAGTGGGACTTCTAGCAGAGCGGAGTGGACGTCCATGAGCCGGGACACATTGGCTCAGGGCGACGGGCCTTCCATTTCCAGCTCATGATCATGATCCGCTCGTTTTTCATGAGGGCGCCGGAAGAGTAAGCAATTCGGCGGGTCAAGCTCGTTTGGATGTCAAGCGGCTGGAGGCCTTGAGCCGACCAGCAACAGTCAACCAACACTTCGAAGGGCGTGGAAGGGTTTAGATCCGTAACCCGGGAGATATTGGCTTACGCCCTCGGGCCGTTTGAGTTGCTGGGACTCGGCTGTACTCGCCTCAGGGGAAAAAGCATAAAGTCCGTGAGCTTTCCAGCAAATTCCCTCACTTGCTCACTACTTCTCTCCATCCCACGTTCAACTCCACCCCCCTGGCCGCCCTCTGTAAGTGTTCTTTTGTTCTCAACACCGCCACGATGCTGCCTGCCCTGACCCTCGTTGCCCTTGCCCACCTCGCTGCGGCCATACCAGCCCCAAACAATTCGACCGCACCCGCCTCGACTGCACCCGCCTCAACTGCACCCGTCTCAACTGCCGCTGTCAAAAGTAAGCTGTTCGCTCGCGGCGGCTTCTGGAACAGCTGCCGGGAATGCAACTTGTGGTACTGGACAATCAACTGTGTCTGCAACGGACAGTGGATGAGTTGCGACCTGAACCCTTATATTTCTAACAACGACGGCACTCTGGTCTGGTAGTGAGTTCAAGCCCTTTAGACAGCCCAGCAGCTTCAAGGTTCAGAACCCGCCAGCTAACAGACTGGCAGCGGCCGCGGTTTCGGCGACTCCTGCAGCGGCTGCAATCTTCAGTCGGCAACTCTGGGCTGCAACTGCAGGAAGATGGACGGCAGCTACAACTGGGGCACCATCAACTTGAGTAAGTCGTGTACTTCCCTACAGTGTGACGTGCTGGAGAGACAACAGCTAACTACCCTGGGCTGACTTATATAGACGATCACCTTACCTATGGCAATGGCCGGCTATACATCGACTACTAGGCAGCCAAGCACTTGTGCAAACAGAGCATGTTATAGTAGGCCCTTTTTGTAACGGGCTGGGCCCGGTGCGAGCCTCGGCGACTCTCGACCAATACCAAGACCCCTGATGAGGCTATTCCCACTCGCCCCACAGCACACCGAACCTTCTAGCAACGCGCTCAGACCAGCGCGCCTACGAGGATAAGTATGCTTGCGAGCTACCAGAGTCTGTCGTCTCTCCTTTTCTTCTCCAAGTTCAGTGTACTCGTAGAGTCGTCATCAGTGTCACGGCGATTGCGCCGTGCCTGCTAGGACCCACGGGTGGAACCCGGCATGTGGAAAGCACGGGCCCCTGTGGGTTAAATATTCTGCACCTCGCTGCCGCGAGATCTGTTCGTAGCTCCTCGAGCTACGTCTTGACAATCAAGCCTGCCCGTACCTGACGGAATAGAGCTTAGACTGTAGTTTAGCCCGAATACAATTGTCATTGGATTGTCCGCCTGTCCCGCCGTGACACCGTATGCCGCTTTGAGCGGGCTGAAACACCCAACATCAGCTGGCTGGAGCTTGTGAGATGAGTGAGGAGGCATGCAGAGGGTAATGATGTTGTTCTCCTTGCAGTAGAGCTCAAAGTCTGTCGAGTGGTGGCTTTCATGGCCGTCGAGGATGAGGAGGCGATAAACCCCGGTTGTTCGAGCTTTGGTGTGCTTGTCGAAATGTTTAATCCAGTCCAGACCGATTTCATTGGTAGTCCAACCGTTTTCAGATGTAGCAATCATCCAGTCCTTCGGCAATGGGCTATCCTCGTACCAAGAAGAGAGATGATGGGTGCCCTCCAGGATGATGAATGGCGGGAGTACCCAGCCTAAGGCATTGATACACTGGATCACGGTGGACCATTTGCGGTTTCCTGGCTGCCTTGTCTTCCGTCTACCACGCCGTTCAGTGCCGGTAACAACCAGTACAGTCGAGATAACGCCCATCAAAAACCCAATCTCGTCAAAGTTGTAGATATCCGCCTCTTGGATACCATACTTCGCGATTGTGTTCTGTACAAGCGCGAACCGTACACTAAACCCATCATTGCGAACGCCAGGCTCCTTTTCCATCTTTGCAAACAACAAAGCACACCATGGCCCAGGAAATACGGCAAAAGCAGTACACTACACCTAAGAAGGTCAGGATTCAGGGGGCCATTGATTTCCTGGAAGCAAAAGGCATACCACACCACAAAAACGACATTTTTCGGTTCTATGGTGCAAGCCGTCGGTCTGGCTGGCGCGCCTTGGCCGAACCCCGCGAACTCGACGGCCGTAGGCTCGGCCATACTATTCTTCGCCCAGAGCAACGTGGCCGGCCAAGGAAGCTTTCTGCCAGCGATTTGGCCGTAATCGAGCGCTTTATCGACAACAATGGATTCGATGGCCGTATGGTTCCATGGGCAGGGCTCCCTGCGGCTGCAGGGCTTGATGTCGACGTTTGCGGCGAGACTGTTCGGCGCGCAGTCAAAGATTTGAACCTTCGAATGTGTGTGGCATGCGAGAAGAAATATACGTCGCCACGGCTCCGCGAACGCCGGGTAGATTACGCCCGCGTCATGCTAGAACGGTACCCAGACCCAGCGGACTGGCGGCACATTCGGTTTTCTGATGAATGCCACTTTGGCTGGGGTCCTCAGGGGAAAGTCTGGGTCATTCGACGGCCGTGGGAACGGCAATGCCCAGACTGTCTGTTAGAGAAAGAAATGCCCGCTGAGAAGGATCTGAAGCGTAGACACTGTTGGGCTGCAGTTGGATATGACTTCAAGTCGTCGCTTACCTGGTACGACGTGCCAGGTAATTCCAACGGCAAGATGTCTATGCAGATCTATAGATACCATATCCTTGAGCCTATAGTTGGTGGTTGGCTTCGCGAAGGTCAGTCGTTTGTTCTCGAGGAGGATAACGATTCTGGCCACGGCACAAGCAAGAGCAATATCGTCAGGACCTGGAAGAAGGCCAACGGCTTGGACTACTTTTTTAACTGTGCTTCATCTCCAGACTTCAGCCCCATTGAAAAGGCATGGCAGGGGCCAAAAGAGTATGTAAAGAAGAGGCCTTGTTGGGAGGATGACCTAGTCAAGGAGCTTGCCGAGGAAGGCTGGGCCGCAGTCAAACAGGAAACCATCAACGGTTGGGTGGATAAGATCCCTCAAATCTTGAAGGAATGTTTAGAATTAGAAGGAGGGATGACAGGCAATTAGTTTGAACTATTTTGGAGCTGTTTTGGTAGTGTTGTTCATGGTGGAAGTTTGGTGTGGTTGATTTTGGTGTGCCTTGTTTTTTGTTGCCAGGGTGCCTGGACTCATGCTCTCGTCATCGGTGGGTGGCCTGTGCGCTCACTTATCTTCTCGCGTCGCAGACGCGCATCCCGTATACTCTTGTAACGGCACGGCTGGTCGGATCGGCAACGCCCAGCCACAGGTGCCAGTTGTTACAGCTTCATAGTGCAGCCAAATGATTCAATCTGTCGGATTGAATCATTTGTACCCTCTTCAGGAATATGGCGCAACGGTATGGCTGCACGTTGTGTGCCGTTACAACTCTCCCTCTTCCTTTCCTTAGCTCTCGATTTGCAAAATTGAGTCGTATTTGCAGCGCCCAGTGACTCGCCTTGATGCCACTTGTCTCTCACAGCACCGATCTTCTAAGCCCTGTTCAGCCAGTTTAGCGCCGTTTCTCTACACGCATATACTGTATCTAGAAGCTAGCCGCATAGTCCATGACGGGACCTACTGTCGCTATAAACAGTTGTCTTACTGTTCGTGGGGAAAGCATCTTCAGCCTCCTCAGAGTTAGAGCGGCTGTAAGACTCTTGGTTGCCATCCTAGCAGTGTGCTGCTTGTAGTGGAGTTCGCAGTCCATTACTACCTTTAAGATCTTTGTGCTCTCCTTTGGTTTGACTGTGTCCCCTTTGACTATAAACGGCGCTTCGGAGCATCGCTCCCTGTTCCCCGGTTGCAAACCGATCGAACCTCCGTTTGCGTTGATTTTGTGCTGCACCAGGTCTGCGGTTAAGAAGAGGAAGATATGTACAAGTACATATTCAACGTTAAATACCGGTACCTTACCTGGCCAGCAGTGCAGCTGGCTCTATCTTTAGCGTGTTCTTTGGGATGGTATTAGATTTGTCGAGTAATATCGAAACGCTTTCCTCCGTCCAGTCGGTCTTTCTTTTTGGCTTCCCCTAACGTTACCCCTGAAAACTTGCCCTTCTTCCTTCGACCTTGGCGGTTCAAGGCCAGTGGGCCGCTATGATCGACACCACCCTCCAGAAGATGAACAGATGAAGAACTACACCACCATCTCATTTTTGAATGCACTTGCCCAACTCCGCGGGTAACAGCGAGTGTCTCTGGCACTCAACCTCGTCGAGTGCTCCACTCGTATTCATAGTCGGATCACCAGCTGACTGGCGCCGCACGGGCCCCAACAGTCCAGCATACGCGGGCACATCTACTGGCAGAACCCTGCTAGCGCCCTAGATATTCCCCTGTATACGCCCCGGATGATGCTGCAGCTGACTCGCCCGCGCATGGACAAGTAAGTGGCCTTCGGACAAGGAGATTGCTTCCTGCGCAAGCTTCAATGATTGCAATAACATCTCTATCTAGACTCTGATGCTCCTCAACGAACAAACTGGCAGACCCTTGCTTTCAGCAGCGAAGGAACTAACATGCACATGGTAGCGACATACTGGCACGCCTCCCTGTGCGTCAAAACTGAGCGCGAAATTAATGCGGTAGCAAGCATGAAATCGATCCACTGCTCATCCACGGATCGCCCAGCGCATAAGTCCCTTGGCCGAACCAGCAAACGATCCATGAGCGCGAGGCGACGCCATCTCGTTTGGCACCCGGGCCCGGCATGCAGCAACCGTGCAGTCATTGTTAACCCATGCGATTTGAAGATCATCTGCCCACCAGGATCGTGGTACGCCAGGGTTCACCAGCGTGATGTTAATCGCCGTGAGGTTAGTAAATGCGGAGCTGACTGCCGGGTCCAGGGCGTGAAATTCGAGTATACAACCTGATGGCTTGGGACATGCTGCGACCTCGATGGTGGCGTTTCCTTGGACGACATCCTCGACATCATTCCACTGCAGGCCAACCACGTCGAAGACGCAAGCAGTGTCGGTTGAATCGCAACCCAAGCTGATGCCCTCGAATTTGAAGGAGAGGCATTTGTTTTCGCGCCATTGCCCGAGTCCGATCTGCGCACCGGACGAAGAAGCGTCATGTAGCACCATTCGCGATCCTGAGGAGGGCTGATATTTGCCGCCTGGCTGAGAAACGACATGGAATCCATCCGAGAAAAAGAAGCGATGGTACGGGCCTGGGACTGGCTGCGGCTCGATGCTGCTATGGTCGACCACATGATCACTCACAAAGTGGGAATATCATCGAACTGTGTCATTGTCAGAACATGTGGTGAGGCGGGGAACATGGGCCCGGCTTACCTGAAACACTACAACACCCCGATCTTCCTCTCCACCGCATGCAATGGGCAAGGCCGGTGAGTTCAGGGTCGCTTCTGAAAGTGCGGAAGACGGTAAGGTGGGTGTTGAGCTCAACATTCGCGTTACATTTAGAGCCGAGCTGCTGAGAGTCTCCGTTGTCGATGTTGACATTAAACTGGGCGTGATTACCGGACCGGTGCTGTTGGGGAACACTGTCAGTGCTGAAACTGTTTCCGAAACAGACGTAAGCTGCCCAGCGGAGCTTGTCACAGCAGCTGTGCTTTTTGGAGACAACAAAGGGCTGACAGTCGTGGCCAAGATGCTCGAAATAGTACTGTCCACGAAAGGAGTGGGCCCCGATGTCGTCCCGTTGAGGGTCGCCAGCGTAGAAACAAGTGATGGCGTTGAAGTGCTGCTCTTGAATAATGGAGGGGTGACAGTTGAAGTCACTAGAACAGCGGTACTACTGAGCACCGTGGTGTTCAGCAGCGCCGTGCTGGCTGCCGGTAGAGATGTCGGCAGCGTTCCCTTGGAGTCTGTGCCTGATGGTACTGAGATGATGGGCACTGCTGGGACGCTTGTGAGTCCCGCCGACGGTGTGCTGCCGGGAGGAGTAACGAGGCTTGTGGCGTTGACGATTGAGGATGCTGCATTCGGCGGCGTCAAAATACTGGCGGCATCAGCCGCAGAAGAGGAAGCAGCAAGAGCTGTTGTGGAACCCGTTTCGATGACGGTTCCGGAAGCGATTGTCGTCGTTACTGTAAGTGTGACAAAGACTGGAGACGGCTCCTCGGTGCTGCTAGACTCAGTTGTAGACGAACTGGGTGTCTCGGTGGTTGGAGGTGCCGTGGGGGAGAATGTGAAAGTGACGTGCGGTGTACTTGTGAGTAGCATCGTGGTAGAGCCTTGGCGGCTTGATGACCTCCTGGTTGTCGAATTCGCCGCGGAGGAAGATTGGCTGACGGGCAACGCCCCGTATGCCGCTGGCGTTGAAGGGGTAGACGTCAGCTGGGAAACTGGCAAATCAGAGTTGGTAGAGGCAACAGCGTTCGTTGACGGAGTTCCAGATGCTGTTTCTACCAGACTTCCAGACCCGGAGAAGAGGTAGCCGCCAAATGTACCGGTCTCAATGGCAACCGAGTTATCGGTGACAGCGTGGGCCGGGTGATCGAATTCGGCCTCCTGCTGCGACGCAAACTCAGAGGATGCCTCGGGTTGAGATGCGCTGAGTGATGTGACAGTTGACGGGACGGGCGCGGAGGAACCCGAGAGTGTCTCGGTGCATGAGCTAGTTTTGCTTGTACCATTCAATGCGCTGCTAACTGGGGCGGGTGACAAGGTGGTAACTGAGAACAGAGGCGGGCTGTTTCTACTTGGAGTCGCGGATTCGTTGGATGGTCGGTAGCTGGTCGAGAATGTTGAGCAGGAGCTGTTCTGCGCCGGTGACGGCCCAATCGTGACCGCGGATGGCGACGTTTTGCTTGGTTCGCCCCAACTGGTGCTGATTGGCTGCCACGCGGTTCCTGCCTCGGACGTGCATGAACTCGATGACACGGAGATGGGCTCTGAGTCATCGATGGAGGTGCACGTCGAAACTGGAGCAGGGGAGGCCGACACGGTGGTTGATTCAAGGTCAGGGGTCGTGACCGGATTAGGCACAAATGACGAGGACCAGGTGATACTGATAGCAGGCCATATCGTGACTCCCCCTGTCGTTTGAACAGAAGTGGATGTTCCATTCCCCCAGAAGGGCTGGTTGGACGATGAAAGTGGCGGTACGCTCGATATCTTGACCGTCGATGAAGCGGTAGGGGTTGGGAGGACATCCGAAAGGGACGAAGACGGCCCCAGAGACGTGGTTGAAAGGGTCGCCGACGGGGTTGTTAGCCAACTGGAAACGGGGCTAACAGTGACAGCAGTTGTGAACTCGACGATTGTGGAGGATCCGTGTCCAAGGGGTACGGTCTGGCTGAGTGTGACGAGCGAAACAACAACGGTCGAAACACTGGCCGGTGTGGTGGCAGACGATACACCTTCAGTGACGGTCGCGACCGTTGGCTGACTGGAGGCAGAAGTGGGCAGCACGGCGTTAGTGTCAGTCTGGTACGCACCCCAGTCGGTTGACGGATTGGGGCTACTGCTGAGTGTTACCACTGCGGATGAGATTGATGGATTGTTTGTGGGAACGCCGCCAAGTGGGACACTTTCCGTGCTCTCGGTGACTGTCAGGAGAATTGACTGCTGCTTCGGAGTTGTTGTGAGACCGAGAGTATGTGAAGTTGTTGCTGCGATTGGTAATTCAACGGATGTCTCTGTGGCGTCTGAGGGGCTGCCGTAGCTGGTGTCTGGCTGACTCTGAACGGGCCCATACTCTGAAGCCTGGGGAGTGGCAGAAACAGGCTCCGGGCTTGACAGAAAAGATTGGGCCATGGAACTTGTGTTGGATGCCGAGGTCTCGGGCGGCCCTTGTGTCCAGCTGATCGTGATGGGATTGACAGAGACTTCAGTGGGAGTGACTATTGTGGAAAATGGAGCTCGGGTTCTCGAGGTGACGGTAGACACGTTTACGGGAATGCTTGTTGTCAGAATGGGTGATTGCAGCGTGTAGTAGCTTGGCGTGGCATCTGAAGAAGCGAGTGTCCAGGTCCCGGACACAGTGTAGGTGGTGGCGGACTGGAGCATGGTGTATGATACTGAGTATGTGTAGACACCGATCTCGGGCTGCCCGGAGACTGTGTAAGTGAGGAGAATGACGGATGCCGTCGGACTCCCAGAAGATGCAGAGGCCGAACGGATGAGAGAAGACGGGGTTGGCATGGTTGTGGCGGATGATTCAGTGACGGTGACCACTACCGGCGACTCGTAGCTGATCGAAGAATTCAAACTAGCCAGAGAGGATTGAATCGAAGCGGATACTGTCATGGTGCCGGTAACCTTCCTTCCCTGTCCATTGTCAGTCGGCGCAGTGACACTGGCTTCCGATGAAACGAATCCATAGCCGCTGGGCTCAGAATCGCTGATGGTCAAGATGGTGACTGAACTCGGTCCATAGGGGCCGGGGTCCCCGTTTGAAGAGCTGGTGAAACCGGAAGCCGCTGCGGTCACCAAGTCGTGTTGCTCGTCGGCGCTCGGCCATGTGGGTTTGGAGCCGACGGAATCTTGAGTCGACGATGCGACAGTTGTGACGGTAATCGCGGCCGGACCTTTAGTAACCGAAGGACTCGGCCAAGACGTTCCGGAGCTTGATGAACGGGCCGCCCAATTGACCAGTGGTGGAACGGGAGTGACAGTGACGGTCCCGGTGAAGGCGGTTGGGAGGTATGAACCGGGAGAAAGGGTGTATGTCAGCGTATAGGGGCGGTACAGGTTGGAAGCCGATGATGCCAGCACAGTGATTGTCGTCGTGCCTTCCGGTTGCCAATACCCCTGATCATCAGTCGCTGGAGTCGAAGAGATGGAGGACGCCGGCTCGAACATGATGGTGGAGGTTGACGAAGTGTAGACAGTGACGGTGACATCCTCGTAAACCGAGGTTTCCGTGAGTGTCGCAGGAGTTGCCACCGTAGACCACAGTTCCGTCGCCCCCGGGATCTCAGGGATGGTGATAGTGACCAGCACAGTCCTCGTGTGGTTGTCGCGGTCAGGATACGTTACCGCGATGACCGAGGTGGCCTCCGTCTGCAACGATGCCCGGGCCGTCACAGTCTCTGAATAGGGGACTGGAGGTGCAGTTATCGTAACGTCGGAGTCAAAGATAGTGGACTCGCTGGAGGCTCCGGAGATGGTGACGGTGACCACCGACTCGACCGTTGTTGCCTCAAGCTCTGAAACGGTGACGGTCGCTGCCACCGCGCCAACCGTGGTCGTGGACAAGGCCGTGAACTGGGTCAAGGTGACGGTACGAGGCCCGGGAATGCCGGTGGTGCTGAGGGGCATTGGGGCACCCGTCCCAGAGGACGTGCATGACGACGAGTTGAAACCGGGATGAACAGATGAAAGGCCAAGAGACGAAGAATTCGCAGAGGGGGAACCAGGGAGAGCACTGGCCGTAGCAGAAGAGGAGCAAGCCGTGTTGGAGGAGATGGGGGATGTTGTGAACTTGGGGGTGGGTGACGACTTTGTCCAAAGAGCTGTTGCCTGTTCCGCTGTGCATGAGCTGGTGAAGTTGGTGGCAGTCGTGAAGTGCTCGAGAATAGTGTCTGAACAGGTTGACGTGGGAGCTGCCACAGTGGCTTCCTCAGCGGCCGTGCCTGAACAGGTGGTCTCAAACACGTCGTCGCTAGCAGCGGTCAGAAACAATAGAAACGTCGGGAAATGGCAATAACTTACAGCCGAGGGACGGCTGCGGCTGCGGCCAGCCAAGCTACCCCAGTGAGAGCACCGAGCGACGCTTTTTGACGCATCTTAGTGCTGAGCAGCTTCGACCTTCCAGCTGTTTCTGTGACTTCGACCAGATGTTATAAACTGGGGTCCGAACAAAAAGGGATGGTCGACAGCGCAGTTAATCAGAGTGAATGATGGTCGGGTAAAGGCGTGGATGACACTCATGAAACGAATGAACTGGAGTTGATTGTGTCGAGGACAAGCGGATAAGGTTCGAAGAAGGCGGAAGAAATGAAGATATTGCAGCCCTTCCAACTGAGGTATATTGTTACCAGATAAGGCAGGAACATCTTTGCAGGCAGGAAGGTACAAAGCTCCATGACATGGGGTTGTGATGCGCTTCGACGTCAGCGAGAGCCCAAGGCAGGAGGAACCTGGAAGTGCTCGGCTGACTGCTATTGTGCTGGAAAGAGCGATTCAAGAAAAACAGCATTCTTGGGACACTCGGTGATTGTGGGTGTTCATAACTTGGTTACTCTAAACATCAGGAAATGTAAGGGATCCAGTAGCCGCATGTCGGTGCCGGATACTTTCCGTCATTCCAACGGTTTCACTGTGGGCTTCA